TCGTGAGAAAAAGTAAAGTAGATCCGATCTTAGAGACTAGTCATGGTCGAAGAAAATTAAATTTACTAAGAATCCATATAAAAAGAAAATTCAAACATTTCAGTAATTTGTAATTTTTAGGAAGATTTTTTTTTTTCTCTACTTATACATTCTTATATAGGAGAATCGCTGAATCTTTAGTTAATGAAAGAAATATACTTATCTATTTTATACCGTTATGGTAAGCTCCCTTAATGAATAAAATTATGAGTTTAATGTAGTTAATAAGTGCCCCCGAGATGTGAAGTATATAGTCCACGTGTGACACTTACAAGTTTATTATTGTCGCGTAATTAAAATTATGTTGTATAAGTGTCCTATGTAATTTGAATATTATCATTTTTATACATCAAATGATAATTAATTTAAATTTTTCTTCAAATTTATAAAATATGGTAACACTTATCAAAATTTCTTTCTTGGTTGTTTTAAGACTTTGAATTAGCCCTTAATATATTAATAGTTTAAAACAAAGTGTGTTATGGTAACAAAGAAGATTACATTTCCATAAATGGAAAAGAATATATATTCTATAAAAAGAAAAATTGGAGAGTGTAAAACATTTTTGGGAAATTTATAATAATAGTAAATAGAAATAATTGTGAGACAGACATGAATTCTTCTCACAATGACTCGTTCCATGGCCATCATCCCTACCGAACGCCAGCAACCAAATCACCTTCCCATGGACTTCCCTCCTTATTTTTCTCTCTTCTTACAGTCCACCCAAAATATCTTCTTCTTTCAATTCTCATTATATTATCTTCTTCTTCTTCTTTTCCAATTCTCTCTTGTTCGTCTTCACCAGAAATCTCCAGGCCGGAATCCTCATTTCTCCGGCCGCCGACCCTTTTCTTTTCCATGTCGAATTCAGCCAGCCCTCCTCAGCCCCATTCTCCAGATCAACCTTATTCCCCGCCCATCACCGTTCTCTTAGCCGTCTTTCTCCTAATCTTCTTCTTTGTCGGATTCTTCTCCATCTATTTCTGCAAGTGTTTTCTCGAGAACGCCGTTACCGCCTGGAATATCCGTCGCAGCTTATCGGGAAGTCTAGTGCGCACCGCAAGTTCTCCCATTAATCCTGGTCTTGACCCCAAAGCAATCCAAGCCTTCCCCTCTTTTCCGTACTCTTCCGTCAAAGAATACCGCCGGGAGAAGTACGGCCTCGAATGCGCTATCTGTCTCTGCGAGTTCACAGACGACGATATGCTTCGACTTTTAACGACATGCTACCATGTATTCCACCAAGAATGTATAGATCTCTGGCTGGAATCTCATCGGACATGCCCTGTTTGTCGCGGTGACCTAGATTTACCTGTAGATGAAATTGGGAAATCCCCTGTTTTCGTTCATAGCAGTAGTAATGGAAGCCATCAGGAACAGATCAGAGACGCCGTAGTGGAAGACGCAGTGTGTATTACGATCAGAGATGATGAAGAGAGGAGAGAAGAAGAAGAAAGGAAGTATGAAGAGAGATTTTCAAGATCGCATTCAACTGGACACTCGATAGTTAGGAGTAGGGAGGAAGAAGAAGAGAAGTATAGATTGAGATTGCCGGAGCACGTTCGGATAAAAATCACGAGAGGACATAATTCAACGGAAAGTTGTATTACATTTGGTGAAAATTGTTCAGCTCCGAAGACCGCCGGTGGTTTTGCAGAGCTTTCAGGCGTTCAAAATTCCGGCGACAAACTCTAACTCTCGTAACATCTTTCGCCAGTTTATTTTCTCTGTATTCAGATTAAACCATAAAAAATTTAACCTAGTAATTAACTAATTAACCATAAAATTAATTATAGAAGTTACTTTTCACCACTAACTTTCTTCGCTTTTTTTTTTTTTTTTACATATAATGCAACTAATAAAGGTATGTGTAATATATAGTTTATTACAACTCATGTTCTTAAATAGATGAGTAAAAAACATTAATAATCCATGTTCTTTTTCTAAAATAATTATGTGAATGATGATTCTAATTTTTTTTTTTTGCAACATCTTTAGATTCCTTAGAAAATTTTTTTAGAACATTTAAATGTTATTTAACAACTAGTTTATGGTCTAATTTCATAGATTGCAATTCAATCATCAACATTGCTTATGTACATATAAAATGTTGGCACCGAGTCAAGGACAATGAAATGAAACGAAACATTAAGCATAACTATTAAACAAATTAACTCATAATCTATTCTAATCTAAATTCCAATTTGAGGTTTTAGAAAATCATTAACCTAGACAAATATATGAGCATTTAAACAATAAATTAATCTTTTAATATCATTTACATTATCATTATGCATACCTTATAGAATAAGGTATTGAACCTATTATATATTTTAAGTTAAATATCGAAATATTATAAAAAAAAATTATATAGGATCATCATTCCACTTTACTTTGGTATATATATCTCTACTTTAACATGCATAATTTTTGCCAAAAACTTAACTCAAGCATGAGAAAATACATGACAAAATTATTTTGATTCAAACCGAAAATACTAGCACGATTACATTCATAAAAACTCAAAACGTAGATAAAATTAGTGGCAATTACCTAGCGCTAAACGACTTTGTTTGTTTCCTACTGTTTTGGTCTCACAAAATAATTTCACAAATTTTTTATCTTCACTCTCTGTAACAATTCTTTTTTTTTTTGTTTTTTTTTCTATTTCTAAATCATCTTATTTTTTTGGTTTCAAGTATCTATTAAAATTCTTGAGTTTTTAAATAAAATGCCAAAAAAAAAGACTTTCCTCATTTTCAACCTCTCACTCTTATGTTTTTCCTCTTTATCTCCTCCTTTAAGGATTTAAGCCCTTTTTTTTTTATATAGACGAAGTAAATCATTATCACGTAAATCGTCAATCAATCATCATCATCACGTGGTTCTTTTAGAAAGTCATGATTACCTTTTTAACTCCTAAATAATCATCATATTTTCTTCATTTTTATGTTTTTCAAGCTGCCAGCTACCATTTATCTTGTTATTTTGAATGAAAAAACTAAATGAAAAGGGAGAGCTTAACATAGCCCTTAAATACTAGATGGGGATTTAATCCTCGCCTTAAATGACGCGGTTTGATTGGATCAAGAATTGTATTTAGACGATGTTGCTTAAAGTCATGTTTGGGACAGTTTTTCGCACAACTTTTGTGTTTCAAAAAATACTTTTACAAGTAAACAAGTAAATAAAAAGTACTTTTAACAAAAAGTAAAACCCAAATATGTTTTTATTAAGTTTTAACACAGTTTTAACTTTTAATAACAATTTACAACTAAAATTTCAAAAGTTATTATTTAAAATAATAATACTTTATGCAGTTATTTTTATCAAATGTCAAACAATTTTTTTGTAAAAGTTTTTAGTGAACAATTATTTTAATAATATTTTAGAACTCCTAGCAAAACCTAAATGTCAACTAAACTTCCATTAAAACTGAAGCAACCAAGCTTGAACAGTGTTATTTGGAGGAAATAATGTAATGCCCAATTTTAATTTAATGTAAATTAAATTAATTTATACAATTTTTAAATTTTTTTTAATTTTAATTTAATGTAAAAATGAAGAAAATGTGATGGATGATGAAATTGAAAACGATTTTGGGGAAAAATGGGTGACAATTTGGGTTATGTGAGAATTTTTTATCGAAAAATCAGAAAATGGGGATCAAAATACAATTTAGAAAACTTGTATCACGTAGAATGCCTAGTTAGCAGCCTCGGCAAACCAGGACGTGCCGCGTGGCAACGGATGCTGATGCGATGCCACACGGGCGATCCGCGTGCCCGCAATTGAACAGCCCAGATCCGTTCCCACGCGCACGGACGGCCTAGATGCGTTCCCTCCCCAAACGCAATCGGATGGTCAGATTTAAACGCGATCGGATGGTTCAGATTAGATCGTGATGAACAGCTTAGATTCACTCCCTATTTAATCACGATCGGACGGTCCAGATCAAACACTATGGACGACCTAGATTAAATGGTGATGGATATAAATAACTCTCTTCACACCAAACCCTAACTCTAGCCGCCAGACACCCTCGCTGGAGAAGAAGACTCAACCGCCGGGAAGGAGAGCCGTCGCCACCTGCTATAATGCCCAATTTCAATTTAATGTAAATTAAATTAATTTATGTAATTTTTTTAATTTTAATTTAGTGTAAAAATGAAGAAAATTTGATGGAGGATGAAATTGAAAATGATTTTGGAAAAAATGGGTAAAATTTTGGGTTCTGTGGGTATTTTTAAAAGAAAAATCAGAAAATAGATGTCAAAATACAATTTAGAAAACTTGTGCCACGTAGAATGTCTAGTCAGCAGCCCTAACAAACCAGAACACACTGTGTGGCAACGGACGCTGATGCAGTGCCACGCGGGCGATCCGCGTGCCCGTGATTGAATGGCCCAGATCCATTCTCGCATGTACGAACGGCCTGGATGCGTTCCCTCTCCAAATGTGATCTAACAGTTAGATTTAAATGCAATCGGACGGTCTAGATTAGATCGGGATGAACGGTCTAGATTCACTCTCTATTTAATCGCGATTAGACAGTCCAGATCAAACGCGATGGACGATCCAGATTAGATGGGGATAGATATAAATAACATTTTTCACACCAAATCCTAACCCTAGTCGCCAGCCACCCTTGTCGGATAAGAAGACCCAGCCGCCAAGAAGGAGAGCCGTCGCCATCCACCGCCGCACCGGAGCTATTTTCGACCACTGAAAAAGGTAAAAAAAATTTCTTTTGCTTGGAATTCAATTTTAAACACCTCCATGTCTAAATCAGAGCAAAAGGACCGACCGATTGACCGAAAACTGTAGGCAAAGTCTGGTGCCGTAGCCGCGGAGAATTTCACAAAATGCCTCTGATGAGGCCCTTCCCGATTCCTGTTCGGTGTAATTTTTTCACTATTGTAATCACCGTTTTCTTCTCTATAGGTTGACCAGAGCAAAACACCCAATTGCAACGTCAGCCGGAGGAGCCGTCGCACCGGAGAACCCTACCACCGGTGAGTTTCGATTTTTTATATTTTTTCGGTCAACCAAGGCCCCTTAAAATATTTTCTCGTAGGAGTTTATGCAAAATTGACCGAATCCGGCAGAAAACAGCCAACCCAAGGTAGATCGCCGCTGCGGGCGACAATGCCATCACCGGAGCACGGCAGAGCTACCGTGCCAGAATTCTGAAATTGGCCAAAATTGGGTCATAAGACTGATTTTGGATTTTTTGGAATATTTGTAGGTATTTATAGCGCGTTTTAATTCTCGAAGAAAAATTTAGGGAATCCGGGGACCGCCGGTAGGCGCAATCAATAAGTTTTACTTTTCAAACATCGAATTGAGTAAGAATCCCTCACCCTATCATCTGTTATAGAATTGAAGTCAAATTAACAATAATACAGTATTTTGTACCCTTTAGAAAATATCTATAATTAATTACAGGTTACTAAGGCAGAACAAAAAATTATTTTCTGTTGATTCTATCGATTTATTTCATAGTTTTAATGCATAATAATATCTGATTTATCGATTTTATAATTTGAATGCATGTATTGCTGCCTTACGCGACTATTGTTAAATTGAGAAACCAGGATATGATTGCATTCCCTGATGCATATTTGTTTGTTTATGTGATTACGGTTGAATTGGAAAATGGAGACTAAGGAAAAAAGAAAAATTATGTGATTAAGTGAATGGATGAAACGACAGCCCTATTGGATATTCTGGGAGATGGTGGACAGACCGGGTACAATAGGGAACCCTACCGTGAACGTTGTCTCATATCGGACGGGGTATGGGGACGACCCATTTCACCCTCATACCAGATGGGGTATTGAGGTTTAGTAATTTGTTGCTCATACCGGATGGGGTATGGGGACAACCTGTTAATTGAGAATGTTAAAGGAAAGGGTTCACGCGTAGTGGAGACATCTCTATGAACCCCCACAGATACCAGCAGGCTGATGGAAAGGGACAGTTGTTATTTAATTTATTAAATATGGATTTATAATGTGTGCGTGCTACCGATTGCATATAAAATGATGATAAGTGCTATGTTATTGTCTATATAGGTTGTTTTTATAAATTTCGTTACAGTAAGTAGACGGTAAATGATTTTATTATTAATAAATACATTTATTTAATTAAGTACTCCATTAGTTGTTTTGATTTTCTACTAACCTTCATTTATGTGTCGGTGAGTAGCGTGATATTCTTACTGAGCTAGTGTAGCTCATTCCTTATTTAACAATTTCAGATTAAGAGGACTAGGATCCAGAGCCCGATCCACAAGAGGGCTACGAGTAGAATGTCAATTTCATTTTATTTTCTGTTTGTTTCCTTAATTTTTTGTATTTTCTTCAAACGGGTAATTCTCGTAGCACTATCTGGTACTTTAAGTCGTGTGTAAGGAATGTAAATCCTAACTAATTATTTCCCTTCCGCACTTAGGTTATTATTTATTTTCTTTAAAGTTTCAGAGTCGTTATAATCGGTATCAGAGTCGCATTCCTCGGACCTATTTCTTACACAAAATCCTTAGGAAACACCAAAAATAACAAATTGCCACTCAACCATTCCTTGTAAAATGCAGGTACAGATAGATGATGAAAGAAAGACCACCACTAAACCGAGCAGCCCGGGAGGGTTCGCTTAAAGAGGATGTTGACCGGTTATTTGAGATGGTGGAGAGACCCATTGCTATCCAATAGGCCCAGGAGGAAAGGAGGGAGTTACCTGATCCTCTCTCGCTGCCATAGGTTGAGCGAACCTTGCAGCGGGAGGATCCCGAGCCACCCCGATATGACCCTGCA